ATTTATAACTGTATTTATGTATAAATCGCATATATATATTATATAATCACTCATGATAATTAAATATATAAAATATACCTCTGTGAATAAAATTTATTTTAGGTATGTGAGATATATTTTAGACATGTGGGATCTATTTCAGGCATATTATTTAATTTTTCTTGCATTAGGAATATACAACACTAACCATTTGAGATCACCAGGTCCGAAATAAGCAAATCTGAGATATTCAAATCTAAGATATTCAAATCTAAGATATTCAAATCTGAGGTATATAAATTTGATTAATTATACTTTTTTTAATATTGCTTCACAGCCATAGGCTATACTCCGTCGATGCTATTCACAGTTAATTTGTGATGTTAACGTAGTGCTATCGTGGTTTTATCTCAGTAGAAATTTTTCTATATAATCTATATCCATTGTAGTTGAATTGCAGTTTAGTCGTAGCAAAATTGTAGATCTAAAGGACGATCTAAGAATCATATGGACCAATGATCATCTGCGTTCATTAATTGACGAGAGAAAAACTAGGAACGTTGAATATTATGACATCGTGGATATTAGTAGAGAGGATTTTTGGAATAGCATTGCAAATAAGATCAATGGACAATTTAATATCACTTATTCCGGATATCAATGCAAAGGAAAGTTTCAAAGTCTGGTAAAAAACTATAATGTAAGTATTTTGAGCGGTAAACATCTTTTACAATTGCAACTATCTCTTACGATAGGGTTATTATTAGTCGATGTGCCTGTATATGTCGGGTGATAATTCTGGTAGGAAAAGTAGAACGGGCAAATGTTATTTTGAGGAATTTCGTACTCGCTTTTGGGAGAAACCTGGTAGGGTTATAAACTATTAATAGTAGTTAGCATTATTACAAAGCAGGCCTATAGGGGTGACTCAAAGAGTCATGGGCAAAGCTCTACCTTTATAAATTGTAGTGTTAACATAAACAATACTAGAAACGCATTTTGATCAAATACGAAACATAAATACAACCTTAAGAAGAAGAGAAGAAAGATGGCAAAATCGCACTCCACCACCAACCTACGAAGAAGTTTCATAAATACTAAATATAAGTCGCTGTGAATCTCCGGCGGGTCAAAGAGATCGATCCGCATCTCCAACCCGAAGAACTCCTAGCAGAAGAGACGAAACTACCAATCGAGATAATGCAAGTAATTTGGGTAGAGATTTAGGTAATAACATAAATAATGTGGGTGG